TACAAGCAGGTTAAGAACAAGGACTTCTTTTAAAAATATTTGGGAGCAGACTGCTGTTTAGAAGACATGAACATTCCTTCACTGACTTTACATGACCTGATCTTCAACATTTCAGAGTTATCTACAAAACCTTAACAGAATAAAGAATTTTTCTTATGTGAATCAAAAAAGGAATACAACAATAATCCTTCACAGAGAAGTTCTGCTCTTTAACTGTCATTCAGCACACTGCTGCAGTACTGCTACCCCAGTCCCAATACCCACTGCTGAGCAGGTGAATGCATTTGACTCTGATACTGCCTCTGGAGGTGTGGAGCTTGTGCTGGGGCTAGTGCCAGCTTTGGGGTATGTTTATTTTACTCTACACAATCAACAGAATCAGGCAAAGAAAAATTGCCTTAAACCAGTTCAACCAGTTTCACATTATTTGAAACAGCACATTTCATGAGAAAATGCTTCCTACAGATTGGATAAGTGAGCATTTAGATCCATATTCTTATTCAATTATTATGACTTACTGCAGTGACATTAAGAAATCTCAGACAAGTAGAGAATAAAGAGAAGGTAAACAACGGACTTCACTTTTAACTGTGCATTTTCAGTACACAGTTCATGCAAGGAATAAAAATGCCTCAGACAACTCACAAGGGATGGAGCGTGAAATTGTAGCATGCAGTTTTCTGAAACAGGCACAAGAGCTCAACACACTGGAGCTAATTTCTGTGTCAACTTTCATTCCATACAGATTAGTGCCATTTTGCATAGCTGAAGCACCAGCTCTATGCGTGTATTTGGCAGTGCCATACATACCCAGTTTTCAAAGGCTTCCAGTAATATGAAGTTGCTACAGATACTGCAGCTTCGCACTAAAATTATTAGATATAAGTTAGTCTGTGAGTTTGTTTTTCACTAATTAAAAGGCTCAAACATTTTCAGCTGGATCTTTTCCTTCAATCTAGTGAGTGTCTCAATAGTATGCCAATTTACATACCAGAAACACATCCGGAAGTTCAACTATCAGCCTGGATTTCCATTTTTCTATTTCCCTAC